TTTAAAATCTGGACCCCTAACAAGAATTTCAGAATGAGTCCCTTTACTTTTTGTAAAAAAAAAAAAAAAAAAACACACAATAGACAGATTTCTGATATATTCAATTTTAAGAACAGGCCTGCTCAGATAGGATTTATCCTTTTGCTTCCATACAGATGCACAGAGGACTTCTGATTGATCGACTGATTATTAAATTAAATATCATAAAGTTAAAGCCATCTATAATCTCACTACCTAGAGACATTCACTGTTGGCTTTAGCTACTCACAAAAAGTCATCACATGTGATATGTTGTGAATCACTTATGCTTCTCAACTTCTTCCTTTATTTCAAGAAAGTACCTAAACCTTTATGATACTACCAAACAAAGTAGGTTTCTAAGAAAATGTAGAATAGAGAAATGTAGTAATCTAAATGTCTAGGAAAAAAATAACAAAAAAAATTGTCTCCATCCATCCTAAATTGGAATTCTAGAAGTATACAGTACAAATTAAAAATTGTAATAGGATATGTAATGTACATAAGTTCAGAGCTATTTTCTCTCTCTCTCTTTTTTTTTTTTCATTGTTTTTCCAGAACCAATGCTTTATGCATTAAAGAATTTGGCAGTTTTCTGGCACAAGTCCTTACTGTTTCATTGTCAAGTGTAAAAAGATTATAAAGTATGTTTTTCTCATTTAAATTAAGTTTGAGGACTATAGAGATAATTATCAATAAATGGGTTTGATATATTCTTTATTATAAACCTAGACATCTTTTTGGGTGAGTTTCCTACTTTGAAAGTTATCTTAGACTTCATTCAGTAGAGGTAAGGATCTAAAAGTTTAAAAAGTAATTGTTCAAAAGAAGAACAGAACTATTTAAGCAATCCTTAGTACACCTACATTAAAACACCGAGGTTTCCAGTCCAATAAAAATAAGAAGAAAAATGAAGTAATCTATCACAGGTATGTACTCTAGATTTTTGTTTAGATGCCATCTTGTTGGCTATATGGAGTATTTATATAAACATATGATAGTCTATTTCAAGGTGACAATAAAATAAAGTTCAAATTTACTTATTTTATTCCTTTGTCTTTTTTCTCATTGCATGTAAAGGAACCCTATTCTTTTCAATGGAAAAAAGAAATGTTAGTAGAACAAAGAGTGAGTGGAGGGGATGGTTGGAATGACCAAAACTCTCTGTCATACTTTTCCAAATATATAACCAGAAAAATGAATTTTAATACATTGACTTAATTCCCAGCTGGAGGAAATAAGCAATCATATTTCTTTATGTTATGCGTACTTGTTAGTCTGTTGTTTATTTAGTATGGATATGATTAGTGTAAAAATATTTCTTTTAAAATGAATTTGACCATGCCTTAGAAGAATTTTGTAAGAGTTTAGTTAATTTAGGCAATAGAGGGAAATATAGCAAGTGTTTTTTTAGTTTTAAGCTTATGATATAAAAGTATCACAATTAGATTTTAATGATAACCCTCCCCTAAATGGCCCATATATTCCTAAACTTTACTCAGTAGCACAGAAAAGAAACACTCTCTTGACATTCCATATTCTTATTTAGTCATTCATTCAACAGATTTTTAAGTATCTTCCATGCGCTTTACATTTTTCTAGGTCCTGGAAAGACAGAAGAGAGGGAAACATCTGTCCTGAAATTTATATTCCAGAAAAAGCATTTGAGAAAGTTTCTACTATGCATTCAATAAACACTTATTGAATGCCTCTGTAGTGTTTTCCTAGCTCCTATGTATATAAGTAGTTGAAGGAGATAAAATACTTCGGTGGCTTAAATATCATCTTTCTAAAACATCCCTCAGTTCTAAACCAGTTGCTTCCTTGTCTGTATTCCTGTGTTACTTTATATGCACCTATATCATAACAAAGGTCACACTGCATTATACTTGTATATTCAAATGTCTGTCTTCTCCGTGGTGTCTCCATGAAGATTGAAACCCTGTTTTATTTATGTCTTATCCCCATGAACAGCACAGTACTTGCCCGAGACAGTGACTGGCATTGAAGAGGGTTGATATGTCACTTTGGCCTTCAGAAAGCTTTCACTTCGATGGGGATGGGAAAGGAGATAGGAGAACCCACTCATTAAGAGAAGTGAAGTTCTCTAAGAGATGGGCTATCCTTCCTGTAAATTTTCAGTTAAAGGATCCCTAGTAGAATAATAATTTAAAGAGAGAGAGAGCATTTATTTAACATGCTAAGTGAGGAATGTTAGTTGGCCACTTCATAAAAGGAAACAAAAAAGATTATTTTCCTAGATATTTAAAAAAATTTTATTAATGTTTATTTGATTTTTGAGAGAGAGAGAGACAGAACATGAGCAGAAGAAGGACAGAGGGAGAGAGGGAGACACAGAATCCGAAGCAGGCTCCAGGCTCTGAGCTGTCAGTACAGAGCCCAACGCGGGGCTTGAACTCCCAGACTGCGAGATCATGCCCTGAGCTGAAGTTGGTCGCTTAACCAATCAAGTCACCAAGGCATCCTGATATTTAAATAAAAACTTAAGGGAATCATGTTTATATGTAACAGCCACATAGTCTTATATAAGCTAAAGTAAACAAGGCCATGTATGAAATGGTTACATCCACAGAAAGATAAACATTTACTAAATCTTAGGCAAAAAACTTAGAAGCCCCCCACCCATCTGAGTTTCCACATATGTGAACGGTGAAAAATAGTCAAAGCATCTAAGTGAGGATCAGCAGGGAAACAAGAAGCTGATCCCGTGCCCTGAAGAATTGTATTTCACATGGGGTCCTTATTTGTCCCATCCTCATTCCTTTTCTCAGTATACACGGAATCTGTGCCCTACACTTCGACTTAAATGGGTGACATCTTCTGCTGTTTGTTGTTTAAGTGACTTATATTCTTGATGTAAATGGTGTCCTCTTCTCTTTATTTATTTATTTTTTTAATTTTTAGTTTTGAGTGCAAGGAGGGGCAGAGAGAGAGAAGGAGACAGAGGATCCAAAGCAGGCTCTGGGCTAACAGCAGAGAGCCCCATACGAGGCTTGAGATCATGATCTGAGCTGCAGTCGGATGCTTGACTGACTGAATCATCCAGGTGGCCTGGTGTCCTCTTCCTCTTTAAATTCATCTGCTCAGGCATAAACCGTATTGTCAAGTAGTGTATGAGCTATGTGCCTACATATTTTGCATCATATGTAACTTGTGATATATTTTTGACACGCTTTACTTTTTTTAATATTTATTTTTGAGAGAAACAGAGAAAGCGTGAGTAGGGAAGGGGCAGAGAGAGAGGGAGACAGAGGATCCAAAGTGGGCTCTGTGCTGGAATGGGCTTGATCTCACGAACTGTGAGATCATGACCTGAGCCAAAGTCTGAACACTCAACTGACTAAGCCACCCAGCTGCCCCAAGAATTTTATTGAGAAAGAAATAGAGCCGACTTGGGGTAGTCAACAATGAAAGAGGAAGGTGAAAGTTATGCTCCCACTTTTCCTTGGCATAATCGTTTTACTTTTTCTCCACCTCATCCAACCTTGCCCTCACTCCCAGAAAGACCCCCTTTTTTGGGGAACCCATGGAAATTATTCATGTTGTCTGAGTGAGAATATGCTCAGTCCATGAAATGCCTTGAGGACCTTTCACATAAATTGGCCACTTCTAGATTTAAATAAGAGGTTGAATAGATTTAAGGGAGTTTTGTGAATAGTCACATTGGTTGCAAAACGCAGTACTTTTGACATGGAGTGGGACTTTTATCAGAGAGAGAAGCTAAAGAAGTCACTATGTGCTTTGAATGAGGTTTTGAGTCATTGTAGACACTGCCTGAGGTCAGGCCCCAAAGTATTTTCACTGCCAGAGGGACAGAGCAAGATCACCTGTCTCAAGAAAAAGGAGTCTGCAGGGCCTAATTATTTGATTCTCTTAGAAGGCTATATCATTTACGTCTTCTGGTAGCTTTGACCTATAATTATCACCTTCTTTGTTATGGTCCTTAAGGAGTCCAACTGCTGGGGCCATCCTAATGGCAGTGATTTGACCTGTGCTGAGTATTTGTTTACATTCCTGAAGTGAAAAGCACCTTCTCCCCACCCTGTGACCCAGGCGACGGTGACTGATAGAGGGATCCCACTTTGCACTGTTTCTCTGAGCTTAGGTGATGAGCAGTTGTGAGCATGCTTCTAGCCCCACTTTAGAAACAACCTCTTATTTCAAAAACAGTAAAACCATAAAAATCTTCTGAAGACATCTCTAAGTGACACCACTTGTAGAGCGATGAAAACAAAGTCGGTGACTTTTTACTTAGAAGATAGCGATGTTTCTGTTTGCTGCTAATAGCATTATTTTTCTTCATATCAAGATAAAATAAAAGATCTGAAAATGTATGTATATATATGGATTATTTTTTGCATAAAGAGTTGAAAATTCGAGTCAGTCGTACACACATATACACCCACAAACACACAAACCCACAATATCCCTTCAGGAAAAAGTCACTCTGAGAAAAGTTTTTCATGAGAAATGTAAATTAAACAAAAGTGGATTCCCAAGCTTTTTTTAGGCTTGCAAGTGCTCATTTACATGAACGCCTTCACCCCTGTGATATTGCCAAATATGCCAATAACAAGTGAAACCTATCTCAGATATTATTCCTAAACATTTTTGTAAACCTGAGGGGGAGGGGAGTTTAAAATCTGTATCTTTATTTTAAGAATTTTAATTGCTGGAAATGTTTAGCTATCAAATGGAAAGCACCAATACAATATAATTACATTTTTAATCAATGAATTTTGATCATGATAAGGTTTCTTGTGCTATTTATTATGATGTTCTCTGGTTCTGAACTGGTTAGTTTGTTTCTTCATCGGTGTGTGTTTTCTGTTCTCAGAGAGTTGTCAGTCTTTCTGAGTAGCTTAAAAAAGAATGCTTTGCAAGGTACATAATCACGGGATTTAATCCCAACACTGATTTTTCAACCAAAATATACTTTCGACCATTGTCTTTTGGCGCAGACCCCTAATGCCTGAGGAATGCAGAGCCCCGGTACAGACCGCACAGATGTTGACTTCAGAATGCTCCCGGCTCTGTCGCAATGGCTACTGTACCCCCACGGGCACGTGCTGCTGCACCCCAGGATGGGAAGGGGACTTCTGCAGAATTGGTTAGTATGTCTGTTGTGCCCAGAAAAGACTGGGCATGGGACAGTCCTTAGGAACTCAAGAACTTACCATCAGCTCTTTCTGCTAGAATTATCTACTCTTCAGAATTTAGCCACTTATAATATGAATGCTCAGTTTGTTTCTGAACTTGCAAATGAAATCTTTCCCATTCTCTTTATGTAAACAATTCACTTACGTAAGTTAATCATAAATGTAAAAAGACTTTAAAATAATTGAGTCCTTTCAAATGGTGAAAAATGAAAACGGCACAACTAGCTCATCTGTACAAGCTCTCAGTCCTAGGTTTGAGATTTCACACCAGCCAATGACCTAGTGTTTGCAAAGCCCCTCTCCAAGTGCCAGCATTTTCCAGACACCCCATAAATGCCCTCCCTAACTTTACTGCTTGCCTTCTTGCTACAGTGCACTAAAACCAGGGTTTTTCAGTGGGTGTTACTAAATAAAAAGGGGAAAATGCAATTATCTAGAGGCACATTATGAGATTTTTTAATTCTTTTTGCCATTCCCTTGTGAACCGTCAACTAGGTAAGCAGCTGCTCAGAGACAGCAGAAGAGATTTATTCCACAGTTACTCTATCCTTTAACCAGGGGTTTCCTCAATTACATGTGATGATGTTTAAATTCTACTTGGTGTGAAGCAAATTAGATAAATTCAGATACCCAGAGTCTAAGATGTATGTATTGAAAATCCATTTCAGAAATTTTTTTTCTTTTCATGTTATCTATGTGAGATGATGGATGTTAGCTAAATCTGTTGCGGGAATCACTTTGCAATATAGGTAACCCAGCACCTGAAACTTATACAGTGATATATGCCACTTATTTCTCAGTAAAAGTGGAAGAGATTTACATAAGAATAAATGCATTTTTAATGCATTGTCAGCAACCAGCATATACCTATTACTTATTACTTACAAATATTTCAAATATTAAAGTATCTCTTGCCAATGAGAATTTGTCAAACTAATATTTAATATTATATTTTATGTATAAATGTTATCTTTTCTGTATTTTAAACATAAGTTTGTTTCAAAAATTCTAACCATAACTTGTCTATATTTTGCCTAACAAAAGGTAGGCCACATTTAAAGTCACATACACAGTGTACATTTTACGTTTAATTTGATTCAGCACTAATAACACTACATGATTGATTAATACTATGGTTATATATCTAAGAGAGAGTTATAATTAAAAGTCTACAAAAATTAGGTAATTACATTAATTAAAATAGACGCTTACATTTTATTTACCCATTCTGTCTTTTTTCCTTGGTTGACCAAAAAATAATAATAATAATAAGGATCAGTGTTCAAATGCACAGATATTCTAATTCTTGATAATGTATCTTCATTCTGCCCCCTTTAATGCCTGATAATGCTTATTCTCTCTGCTTCTTTTATATAGTGTCCATTTTGTTTCATGCGTTACTTTGCATTTTGCCTAACCTCTTAAGTCATCTCAAGTTATCAGATAATAAATATTTTTTGAATGCCTGCTAGCAATAGTATGTTTAAACTGAGGGTAAACAAATTTATTTTGAATATAGGCAGCATTATACATACCATTATAAATAATAATAATAGATGATGTAAATGAAAATTGACATTCTTTGAGGTTACATGAAGTTTTATTTCAGTAATCTTTCTACTAATCAGTTAAAATAGTTTGAATATGTAAGATCAGAACCATTTTATAAAAGTAATCTATTCATGATCTTTTTGACCCAAGCAAGAACTTTATTCATATACTAACATAGTTCATCAACCACAAATTTAAAAAAGAAAATTATCTAACTATTCTCTTGTTTTTTCTTTTCCATTTGTCAACCACAGACCCCTGGGTTTTGATTAATGCATTTGAAAAGGTTGAAATAACCTTGTCCCTTGAAAGTATGAAGACGCGTGTTCAAGGAATTTGTTTCTGTCCACAGTGGCTGCACAGCCCTCATTTATCCCATCAGTAAAAGACAACTTCTAAAACCCATTTTATCTCTATATCTCATTTTAGCAGTAAATCTTTACATTTCCCACCTATATGGTTGTGGTAAAAATCCTTTTATGAAGAGATTCTGTGTGGAGAGTCACCCTGAAAAGGATTGACCGACTGCACTGCCCCAGAAGGGGCTACAAAGTGTCATCAGAGAGGAAGCAATGCTGTGCACCACCTGGGAGCTAAGGGAAGGAGGAGTCCAAGGGAGCTTTTCCATCTCACCCAGACTAAGAACTAGCCGTTCCTGTATATTTCGCTGGAGATGCTGAAGCCGCTGGGTCTCCCTCTCAGCCCAGGCCCTTCCACATTAAGATCCTACCCTGGAGACACGGGAACATAGAATTATTTGAAAGGCCATCTGTTGGAAATGCCCTTACGGAGTAGAGATATTTGAAGGAACGGAAATCCTCATTTTAAATAGAGTCAGTTCTGCAAGGGATTGAAATGGTTTCCCATGATCTCTGCTTCCCTAGAAATGCCTCCCTTTTTCTATTGAGTTCTAGCTCCCACATAACTGTGGGTCTGGAAACCTTTATTCATTCTTGTTCTTTATTATCTTTTGGATCATTGTTGGACTGGCTACCTCCTTCTTTCCCTCCCTTCCCTTACTCATCAAATATTTGTTGGCCTCATTGCTCGGTGCTGTTTCTGACATGCAGAATGAGAGTGTGATTTTATTGCCTTTTGTTTTCCTGCCAGCAAAATGTGACCCAGCATGTCGTCACGGAGGTGTCTGTGTTCGACCAAACAAGTGCCTCTGTAAAAAAGGATATCTTGGTCCTCAGTGTGAACAAGTGGACAGAAACATCCGCAGAGTGACCAGGGCAGGTATTCTTGATCAGATCATTGACATGACATCTTATTTGCTGGATCTAACAAGTTACATTGTATAGTTTCTGGGACTGTTTGAATATTCCTTTCCAATGGGCATTTATTTTTAATCCTGTCATTAAAAAGAAAGACTGTTATCCTGCTACACACTTCCTGTGATTTCATTTTCTTTTATTAATTTAAAAATAATTTCCAGAAATGTGCAGATCCTGTGTGTGTATGTTGGCACGTTTGTTCACATATGCACATACACACACACACTCAAAACCCCTGTACGTGTGGTTGCATAACAGATGGGTTTTAAATATATATTTCCTTGCGTGGAGTGATTTACACAGAAATTCCATTGTAAATTGATAACGGAATTTTTATGTCACCAGAAGAGATTATCTGACTTCCCAGGAATTTTCTGTCTGTAATAACTAAAGTCAACTTTAATGGAGTTTTGAAACATTACTGTGCAATCTGATGGATCTAATAAAAAAGGCAATATTTTTATATTAAAGGATTATAATGTGAGAGAATGTTTCAGAATTCCCTGATGAATTTCTAAATGGGCGACTTGATATAAAATTATAATTTTCAATTGTATCAATGTATCCAATTACAGAATGTTACCCACTTACCTTTTTATTGGCAGAGAAATCTGGTTACTCTAGTTTAATCTCAAGATTGTTTTCAAGTGTTTTATAATTAAATCATAACGGCATATTCTGCAATCAATCTTCCTAAAAGGTCTGCTTTTATTATATATTGTATCTAACAATAGGCACTGGGTTTGTGTTACCTATTTATATTTTTTATTTTATTTTTATAATATAGACATCACCTAGATGAAACACCTTTGCCCTGTCCTGTAAAATACTAAAGTTACATTTTTCACCAACTTAATTGGAAAGAAGGGGAGTGAGAAAGCAAACAGTCTTTAATGTGCTGTGGATCTAATCTAGCAATGTGCCCTTGTGCCAACATGTAATCATTAATGACAGATGAAAAAGCAAGAAAACAGCCAATCCTTATAAAATTCCAGTATTAAACATATGTAAAGTGCTTTTCACCATAGCAAGACTGTCAGAGTATATGTGATTAGAACGTTGCAGATTTCACACTGAACGAACCTCACTGGAGAAGAGCTCACTCATTTCTAACAAATCTGGGCGATGTAAGCTGTCACTTGTACACATTTTTAAAATCCTAATTCTTGCCAAATAGGAGTCTTAATGTATATGTTCCTTTTAAGAACTCAGTGAAAATCCTCCTTGGTTAATGTATGAATACATTTCTGTAAATGTTCTGTTCAGGTTTTTAAAGAAATGCCATGATCTAATTTAAAGCTGCAAAAAGACTGATAGACATTTTTCTTACTGGTTTTTGAGGCCGGCTCTCCACCTTGGACTGTAACAAAGTCATAAGGCCTCTTTGCACTACTGAGAAAACATCTATCGTGACATGCACACACCCGTTATTGGTTGCCCTTGTGTAAACATCTGTTCTTCCAGAATCTAAATTGTAGACAAGTATAGATTATGAGCACAGGCTGACTTTCCAAGCCTGTTCCTTACCTTTGGGAATATGAACCTCAATTAAAAAGAATAAAATCGCTTAACTAGTATTTCTCTATTGTTTTAAAGTGAGAGGTTTGCAATTAAAGCACAGTGAGCATTTACGTAGAAAGGTTGGTTAAGTACACTGCTCTTGTCTTCCATATATGATTGCTTAAGTTTCAAGTGACCTCATGCCAAATGGAAATGGGTTGAGAAATCTTGGTTCAGTGCTTAGTGAACAATAGCCTGCATTAAAAAGTGCATGCATAATTTTGCACAATTTAGATTCAATTGACAGTCTATTCAAAGAAGTCTCGGGATTAAATGAGCATGGAGACCAAATTGCCCTCTTACCCCAGAAAAGGGGTGGTCCCTTCCAGTCACACTAACACTTCATTGGCCCAAGAGTGTGACAAATCTTGCAATGAACCTGCAGTAGCCCGCATCTGGAGGTTAATAGCAGTCTTTTGTCTCCTTCGCTTTCTCTTCATAGCCCTTTTACTGAATTCCATCACAGAAAGTTTTACAATTAAAAAAAAAAATGTCCTGACAACCATTTTTGTAAATGGACCTTACCATCTAATCATCCCTTATTCAACGTGGGTGACATTAACAAAATGTGAACTTCTGGTGAGAAAGCCAGCTGTCTAAATCTGTCAAATTGTGCAGTTTTATTACACATTCTCCTGTTCATAGTTTCACTGAAAACAATAAGGATACTGCTATATATTCAGCAAAATCTGAAAATCCAGGGTTTCTTCTTACACACTTAATCTTTCCATCTCTTCCAAAACAATCTTTCCAAAAGAAAAGGTGTAATATTGCCATTAGTCCTCCTGTTTAAAGATATCTATATTAAATTGACCAGACCCAGACTTTTTACACAGTCCTTTCCCAAGTGAAAGAGTTTCAGATGTCTTAGAAAAACATATGTACCCCAGGTGTCACTGCCTTTTCTATTGTGAACCATTAGAAGAAAAGGCCAAACTCTTCTAAAAGAGAAGATAGCAAGATCCATGGATTTTAAACCCGAGCAAAGAAAGTCAAGTCGTTGGAGCCATTTCTTTTTGTCCTTGGGAGAGAAGTAAATAGCAGTGGCTAATTGATGGCGACGTATTTTAAACTCAGTGATCATTTCAAAAAAATCTTTGACCTTTTTTTTTTCCAATCAGATTTTTAAACTGTGACTGGAGAATTCTTTTTAATGATCCATGATAGGCAGGTAGGAATTGGTTAAAAGTATGAGCTAGGGAAAAGTTACTGTTTTATCATGTGAATGGCAGCATCTACTTGGTTCTGAAAGCACACAATCAGAATGGAGAAAATTATGTTCTTGGTATGAATGTAGATGTGTGAGATAAAAATAAAGAAATAGAAAAATTTATATTATTATCCCTTTGTCCATTCTGGAGCTTAAGCCCTGGGTGTCAATTTAATATGAAATGCTGTTATGGAAGTTATAAAGGGTTGGAAAAAAACTTTCTACCACGGCTTTTGCCAAACTCTTGTCCTGCTTAATAGAACCTTGTTTTCTGGACAGTTATTTAAGGCAATGAGAAGAAAACCGAACTGGCACATCATTAGGCTGAAAAGAAAGGAAGAGTTAAAAAAAAAAAAAAAAAAACAACTTCAATGATGATAAAAAGTTCCATCTATACCTTCTTGGAATTTTGTTTCAATATGGCTATTGTAAAATATATCTCTTATTCCAACACAAAGAATACATGGAAGTTTTCTCAGATTAGTGGACTATCTCCTAAACAAGGAGCAGAGAAACATACACATACAACAGAGACACACGACCTGAATAGAAAACCATTCTCTTTTTCATTTATATACTTCAGAGCAGGCACCTCTTGTCTATTGATTTCTTTGAAAATAACTACATGCCAGTGTATCAACAACTTTAATATGTTTCTTTTCGATATTATTTTTTTAAATCTCTGAATCATAAACTGTAAACAAGCCTACCAGGCATAAAATATGAGGTGAGCTGCTACATCCAGGGTCTTTCAAAGTACACATGAACTTAAACCTAATTATTAGTCTAACATTCTTAGCTTTGAAACAAAAAAGAGACACCAAGCCCGAATTTTTAAGAGGAAAAATAAGTATACCTTGGCAGGTGGAGTTGGCTGATGGATATATTAAAGTTTCTGAGTGTCTCTATAGAATGTTACCTATGGTATTTATCTCTACCCCCATCTCTGTCTCTATTTCTCTCTCTCTCCCCTCCCCCCCCATATATCCTTCTTCCTTGTTACCTCTTCCTGCTCTTCCATTTCTATCCGTTTTGACTAAACAGATATGTCCTCAATACACCCATAATGACAATGTCCTGGGGTAGATAGCTGTTGATTTTGCTCATTTTGATCTTTTCTTTGTTTTCCTGAAAAACACCATCTCCCAATGTCACATGTGCTCAGACTCTATCATGGAGAACATAGACAACTATGAATCTATCAAATCGACCTATTATAGTTGTCGAAATAAATAACTAAAAGGATAAATGACTACAAGCCTGGATGCTCCAGCTCGGCTTGTCTTCCATCAAAGATACAGGAAAACACAAAGAATATCCTGGTCAAGAGCTTGAGCTAATGGTAGTAAAAGTTAGCAGCTGTTTCCTAGTCAGGCATGACCATCTCTATGAAGTCTGTTTTGAAGATTATTCCAAATCTCTCCTTTCCCCACCTCTGGGATGAGACTTGATTTCTCTTCCAGAGAACTCAGATCAGAGTTCCATGCCCAGAAAATGTACATATATCTGTATCCCCGCTAGGAAGTGAGTGGGCTTATTACTGTGAATACTTTCAGAAAGGCCCTCTTCAGAGTATCCTATAAAAAATATATTTGCTATCTTATGTTCTTTCTCTTCACTGTAACTCAAGGTAGTCATACCTCCAATAATTAATGATGTCAAAGAAGGTGGACAATGAAGAATAGAAACATTTCAATATGAAAAATACTGAAACCATGACCGTAAAACCTGCCAAGCACTAATTGGAGCTAACTTCAACACTTCTTTCTCTTAAATATCTTTCTCTTAAATATCCTCTTAAATATCCTCTTAAATATCCTCTTAAATATCCTCTCCTAAGTTTTAAAATTGCTTTAAAATAACTATTCAGGACAGTGAGCTGCATTCAAGACAGCACAAGTGCCATCTTCTTGTCAATCATAGTGGTCACTTCCCTAGCTGCTATGAGAGATGTATTCATTTGTGAGATGAGCACTTTTCTTAAAATCTCCAATTAAATATGAACCCAAGAGATGCCCATCGTTTACCTTGCTTTCTTTTGTATAGGTCATATAAAAATGGATTGAAAGAATAAAGAATAAATAATGGATTCCTTGTATCCACATAAAGCCTTAGGCTTAAAACTTGTTACTGCCTTATTTTTTAGCCAGACTACACATTGACCTACCAAAAAACAAAAAGTATCAATTCAACGTGAATTCTAACCTATTAGAATTTGCTTATGTATATCACAGCCAGACATCTAGTTTCAGTAAGGATTTTTTTTTGTATATGTCAATTATATATTACCTAAAATCAAAATACATGTGTGTATATATATATATATATATGCAAATTAGCAAATGTTTGGTGAGTTATCTCAATTGACTGTAATACGTTAAGTTTAAAAAAGCACAATTTTTACCACATAGTATAGAAAGAACAGAACATTGACAGTGATGGAAAATTCATAATGGATGAATTTACAATAAGCTTTGTCTTCATAATTAGAAACTAATTCCGGTACGTTTCCCTTTGCACTAACAACTAGCCAATAGTTTCCATTCATATGCACAATGTGTGATCAGGTTTGGTGTAGTCTACGCCCAGAATGTATGTTGGACATTTCTTTACCTCATTCTTAAAATCGGAGACATGACTTTTCCTAGAATAAGTTACTATTTCATGTATAGTAAAACCTAATACTATTAATACATTCTATTCATAGTACTGTTATTGAGAGATTAAATTAACAGCCTTATGAGAAGTCAGGTACTCTCCATATCTCATAGCCACAGGACATTTTTGTACATGCATTTCACCAAGAATGACATAGTAACAAGATAAATGATACGAAGCTACTATGGAATTTGGGTGGCTTAATTCCCTAGGACGTGTTGAAGACTATTAATTTGAAAGAAACCCATTTAATTAAAATGAAATTATCAAATCATTATCATCAATAAGTATAAAGGAAATCTGAAAAAAAAACCACCCTGTGTCTCTCCTGGCTTTATCTTTATGATTAATTTTGTCCAGTTTTAAAGAATAGTTAACTTTATTATTCTTCTAACATGTTTTCATTCTTCTAGCTGTTCATTTTCCTTTAGGTTGTTGACAAGTAACAAATATTTGCTTGAATTTCCATTAGGAGGTGGAAAGCTGTGGGAACAAGTGGTAAAGGCAGGTATATGTTTGAGAGAGCAGATTAATATAGGTACTAGTTGGGATTTCCATAAATGTTCTTTAGAAGAGTAACAGGCAAAGCCATTGGCTCAGATAATCCCTCTAAATTTGACTTAATCTGATTTATTTAACCAAGTTATTAAAACATTCAGTTCTCTTTGATCAATCCTCTATTATTCAGCTACCTTTCCATTCATTAAGTCCACAAATATTTATTGAAGTGCCTAGCATGATTATGTGCTATAGAAAAGGCAAGGACATTTACAATGGGGGATTGTGAGCCCAGTGGGTATGATGAACATGTTTGAAGGAAAAGATAATAATCGATCACACCCAAACAGCCCCAATTCAACTCAACTTTAGAGTCCAGCAATAATAGTACAGATGGCGGAAAGTACATCTGTGTGTATCTATACGTGTGCACACATCCATGTATATATATTTATCTATCTGTACAAACACTACATATGTATACACACTATCTATGTAATATATAATATATGTATAATGCATATAAATTCTAACAAGTGTATTTGTGTTATCTTTAAAATAGAACGATTGTATCTTGAAGTGGTAAATGCAGAGAATTGGTTTTTATTGTTGATCTGTGGATTTAATGATTTTTAGGTGAAAAGGATGTTT